GTCAGTCGAGTGTTTGAAATAAATCCTTCTGTGAGATGATGTGGCTTCTTACACAGAATAAGGCACGCAACATATTTCATAGTATTTAAGCAGTGATAAAGGCATTGCATTATAAATATACTTTATTTTAATGAAAATCATAATAATAAGATCTCAGATAAACCGTATATTGCCGTAGTCGTGTGTTTATTAGTCACGTTGAATCAATGAAAGCAGTTGAATCTTCTGTTTATTCAGCTGCAGCGATAGGCATTTTCTGGGTTTCTTCTGCGAGGCGTATTTGGAGTTTCAGCGCGAGAGCGCCCTCTGGCCTTTGGATGGAGATTTACTGCTGATCACAGAACCGTGTTTCACTTAAAGATAAGCATGACAATCGCAGCTTCTGTCGAATCGCGATCTCGATTCCATTTCGATTTATCGTGCAGCCCTACACCACAGTGTTTTAATAGGCATTAACCATCACCTTATGGAGTTTTGACGTGGACGTGTCATATTGGCTGAACTGTGTGATCACCTACACCTGCTCTAGTGATAATGAGAAACAATCTGTGTGTATCCATGGCGTATTGCCCTGGTCAGACCAAAGCCCAGAGGTACCGCCGAGCAAATATGAAACACGGGTGAGCTGTTTGTGACCTGAGGGGTGTGTTGTCCACACCAGCTGTCCTGGACGGTGTGTGTGTGAGTCCTAGTGATGCCAGTTCCACCTGTTACCCTGAAACAAATACATTGTAATGACTATAATATATGATAGAGGAGAAGATTAAAGCAGAGAAGATGGAAGATTAAAGGACAAATTTGGGTCCAAATGTGCTGCTAAATTCAATATGTTATTCAGCATGTCTTGTTCCTACTGTCCTCTCATCATTCAAGCGCGCATTTGATCCTCTATCAGGACACGCAGACCCTCAAAATTAGCACTTGCTAAGAAGCAAAGTTAGTTGCTAGTTGGTTTGTAACTTTAGATACTAACATGAAATCGTGTGAATCAGAAAACATGTTTGAAATGCACTAGAAATTTATCTATCAACATAAGTAAAATATTAATATGTGTGTTTTCAGTATTGGCTTATTATATATAAACTTATTATATATTTCTAAAGTATTTAAGGAATAACGTACTCTTATTTAAGGTTTCTACATATTTTAGGTAAGTTAAAGGGATAGTTCACCCAAAAATGAAAATTAATTTGTCCTCAATCATTTATTTATTTTTTATTTTTTTGGCTCATACAATGAAAGTGAATGGGGTCCAATGTTGTTTGGACAAAAAACAGTATATAACAATTATTAAAACATTTCCATTTATGCATTTGGCAGACTCTATCCAAAGCAATTTATTTTGCATTTAAGCTACACGTTTTCAGTTCATGCATTTCCTAGCAATCAAACCAATGACTTTAGGGTTGCTAGCACCATGTTCTACTGTTTAAACAACAGGAAGGCTGTTAATAATTGTCACTCGCCCATTACTGATAACCATTTCAGAATTTATGGCAATATTAAAAGTAGTCAAAGTAGAAACTCTGATTTAATTTGATTTTCCATATAGAAATATATATATTTTTTTTTCCCACTTTTATTTCTGTCAGTTCTCTCGGTCTGTCTTTCTGGTACCAAAATAAACATGTGCTTATGATTTATTAGTGTACATAACATGATATAACATAAATTACACTTTTGCCCATTACTGATAACCATTTCAGAATTTATGGCAATATTAAAAGGAGTAGTCAAAGTAGAAACTCTGATTTAATTTGATTTTCCATATAGAAATATATATATATTTTTTTCCCACTTTTATTTCTGTCAGTTCTCTCGGTCTGTCTTTCTGGTACCAAAATAAACATGTGCTTATGATTTATTAGTGTACATAACATGATATAACATAAATTACACTTTTTTTGTGAAATGATTTTACATTTTTAATGAGCAGAAGTCTGCCAGCAGTGTGCCTGTAGTGACAAAGTGTAGAGAACAGATGTGAACAGAAAAAAAAAAGATTTTCTAGTCCTTGATTGTGAAGTACTTCTGATTGTCTCTGAGCAGATGTCTGCGCTGTGTTTTGAAATTGCCAGGGATGTTTCACTGAAGCTGTAAAGTCAGAAATGACTGACTACTTTGTTTGGCCTTCCAAAAGAGGACGATATCTGCTTCGTCATGCCTAGAGCTAATCCGTGCTGGTTGCTGAGGAAATACAACAACTTTGCGCTGTGTATCGCCGGATCGGCTTTCACCGTGGACGAAGTGGAGTCCAGCCCGGGGTCGTCACATGTGGTTGCCGTAAGTCTCCTTCGTCGAATCCGCCGGCCGCGCCGTTCTCAAGGCCGCTGCCTCTGCTCACTCTAGTCCTCCGGCCGTTCCTCACTCTAGCCGCTGGCCTCTGCTCACTGTAGCATCATATGACCCCTTTAATGTGCAGTATCATCTCTTTTTGAAGATTGAGTTAAAACGCGATAATTAAAAAAAAATAACTTAGTGTTATGTTTCAGCGCTGTGTCAGTGGCGCATTTAAGCAGATACCGCAAGTGATGTTGTCAAGTGATGTTTTAGTTGTCATGCCGAAGGAATCGCTGTTTTGCTGAAGTGGCGTGAAGCTGACCTCGCTGCTCAGATTTACGCATTCAACATCTGTTCCCTGGTGAATGATGCTGTTCACGAAACAGCTTCAAAATGAGTTTTGTCAAAGTGGCATATTGCACTGAAATGTGCTTTAAATGGCAAGGCCGGTCGTCACATATGGGAACCCAAGGGCAATTGTAACACCTTAAATTTCAAAATCACAACGGAGTGACTGCACTTAAGTATACACTCACTAAGGTTCTCTCTTTTTTTGAGATTTTTTTTTTTAATTAACAACAAAAACAATTTTGAGACCAATTAGATTTCATTTTACAATTCTTTTTGCAATTGTCCAGATCTTTACTTCTTTTCAGTTTGGATGCCCCTGAATCTAAATGACTACCTATTTTCTGACAGAGTTTTAGCTCTCTGGAAGCAGATTTTGTGAGGTCAGGGTAACTGTATCACTAGTTAAAAAAAGTACATATTATATGGATAAATTGAAATATAATATTGAATCTTTAAAATGTGTTTAATGAAGTAATCAGCATTATTCCATTACAGTAATTAACTAAAAACACTTCTTGACTTATCAGTTAATAAATATATTTTAATAAAAAGAATCAACCATATTTAAAATCTTTAATGATTCTTTTAAAATATACTCATGTATACTGTATGTATGCTTTAATTGTAATGTGTGCTTTAAACACATATTATTCCTCCTCACTGTTACAAAAATTAAAAAGGTGGAAACAATTTTAAGCCATTTTTAATTTTAAATAATAGTAGCATTTTTATATATTACTTTAATATTAAAAAATAATGTGTAATATTCTTACAACCTTGTTTGAGATACAGTACATTAATAAAAGTTTTGTTTCAATTCAGCAAATTCAGAAAACACTTGCATTCCAGTTTAACTAGGCATTAAATTCATAGAAATAGCGCTACATTTAATATGCATTTTTTTAGTGTAAACATCTGTCCTTTCTATGTAAATTAGGCTCATTATAGAGTGCATATTCACAAAACTCAGCACTATTTGCATGCAGCAAATATGCTATTTCCTGCAGAAAGCGGGTGGTAAACAATTAAAAAGATGAGCCAAATTCAGTCTTTGAGTCTATTCGTCATTGAGTCTTTCTAAATGCAAATATTGTGTTAATAAGTGTTACTATTACTACTGACTCACATTTGTAGTAGTTTGTGAGTTTTGAAGCAAAATTTATAAAATGTTACAGTTTTAAGCATTCAACATCTGCATGCTGATGGCATATGAAGGACACTTTGTTCTCTCTCTCCGACACTATCAGTCTCTTCATCTTTATTCCTCTCACTTTCACACACATCCCTGTCATCCCTCACTATCCTCCCTTCATCTAGTCTGTCCATCCCTACTTAAAAAATGCCACAATGACAGGAAGAGCAGGAGGCAGATAAACATTAAGTGAATGGTCATCTAATAGACACACAAAACATCCCTTCATCTTAGAAGTACTGACGTAAGCAGAAAAAAAAGCTGAGATCCTGAGCGGTCCTGACACGTTTGTCACTCTGACACGCTGAGTGTGAGCATGCAGGGACTCCTTCACTAGCAGCATGAGCACACACACTGCTCAGTGAAGCTCAGGCTGTGTGGCACCTCTCTCAATCTGTTAGTCTGTCTGTCTTCTCTCATACTGTCACTTACTCTGTCTGTGTGTGTGTGTGTGTGTGTGTGTGTGTGTGTGTGTGTGTGTGTGTGTGTGTGTGTGTGTGTGTGTGTGTGTGTGTGTGTGTGTGTGTGTGTGTGTGTGTGTGTGTGTGTGTGTGTGTGTGTGTGTGTGTGTGTGTGTGTGTGTGTGTCTAAAACTCCTGTGTATCCTACAGGGATACAGAAGATTATGTTTTAATAGGAACTATTATGTTTCATAGTTTAGATATGGTACCTGTATCGATACCATATCAATTATTTGGCTGATATTTCCGATTCTTTTTAATGTATCATTTGATCATTTCCACTGTTTTACATTTAGATTACCTTTGCTGTCATCTAACCCTCACTTGATCTAAAAAAAAACCACACAAATAAATAGCACTGTTAAATATAATATTTAGTAAATCTCAGAATATTAATTTTTCATACTTTATAATGTAATGGCTAATTCGTGTGTAGCATTTAAAATAATAATTTTTTTATTTATTTAGACAAAATAGTATAGAATTTTAATATCAGATTAATATCATTTGGTCATCGACCACAATGATCATTATAATTATCTGATTATCGGGACTGGGCTGAATTTTAATATTTGTGCACTTAGTACATTTCAAAGCATTTTTTTAATGCAGAAATAAGAATGAAAAACTATATTTTACATTTCTGAAGAAAATCTTGAGTGTTATTTTAGAATTATTTCAATACTATTATTGTATTTATTATTATTTTGAATTAGCCTTTAATTTTATATTTCAAGTTAATATTATAATTTTAGTTTAAGTTTTAGTAATTTTATGTGCTTTTTATTAGTTTTTTTTTAAATTTATTAGTCATTTTTATTAGTTTTTTTTATATATAAATTTCTGTTTATGTATTGTATTTCAGCCAGTTGCCAAGGCAAGATATCTAACTTTTATTTAAGTTTAAGTAATAGTTATAATTACTTTATTTTAATTAATGACAATTATTTTAGTGCTTTTATGTTTAGTTAACAATAGCAACACTGGTGTAGCATTTCAAAATTATTGTTTTTAGATTTTATTTTTTAATTTATTTAGACAAAATAGTATAGAGTTTTAAAATCAGCCATTTATTGGTTATGACCACAATAATGATCAAATTATTGGTTTTCCCCCTTAATTAAAAAAAAGTGTGCATCTGTGTGTTTAAAATTACTTTTTCATACATGAAAAAAGAATGAAAAACTAGATTCTATGTTAATAAAGAAAATATTGAGTGAGGCCACCATGCTGCTATGCAGTTCCTAAGATGTTCAAGATGTTTTCTGCATGTTGCTATCCAGTTGCTAGGGTGTTTTGAATGGTTGCTAGGTGGTCAAAGGAGTCAAAAGCTTTACCACATAAGACCTATTTAGAAAAATATGTACTATTACTTTTTTAGCAATCAGACATAGTTTTCTCTTAGTAGATGATAAAACAGCATAGATGTACATAGAAGGAGGGACGCGAGAAATGGGCAACCACTAATAATGTGTGCTAAAAACTACTAAGACCCATAGCAACTGAATGCCAGTATCTTAGCATGATGGCAGTGAGTTTTAAACAGGCGAGCAGAAATCTAGTTATCTGCAAAGGTTGTGTTCACACACTCCAATTCCAACATATGCGGTTCTCCAAACACTCATCATCTCCCTTCCACGAACACACGCACAACTGCTAATTAGCAAGTAGCACCACAGCAGAAACAACCTGGAATAGCTGCTTAAACAGAAGGGAACGAGTGTCTCTTTTTTGCTCTATGTGTGTGTGTGTGTGTGTGTGTGTCTAAAACTCCTGTGTATCCTACAGGGATACAGAAGATTATGTTTTAATAGGAACTATTATGTTTCATAGTTTAGATATGGTACCTGTATCGATACCATATCAATTATTTGGCTGATATTTCCGATTCTTTTTAATGTATCATTTGATCATTTCCACTGTTTTACATTTAGATTACCTTTGCTGTCATCTAACCCTCACTTGATCTAAAAAAAAACCACACAAATAAATAGCACTGTTAAATATAATATTTAGTAAATCTCAGAATATTAATTTTTCATACTTTATAATGTAATGGCTAATTCGTGTGTAGCATTTAAAATAATAATTTTTTTATTTATTTAGACAAAATAGTATAGAATTTTAATATCAGATTAATATCATTTGGTCATCGACCACAATGATCATTATAATTATCTGATTATCGGGACTGGGCTGAATTTTAATATTTGTGCACTTAGTACATTTCAAAGCATTTTTTTAATGCAGAAATAAGAATGAAAAACTATATTTTACATTTCTGAAGAAAATCTTGAGTGTTATTTTAGAATTATTTCAATACTATTATTGTATTTATTATTATTTTGAATTAGCCTTTAATTTTATATTTCAAGTTAATATTATAATTTTAGTTTAAGTTTTAGTAATTTTATGTGCTTTTTATTAGTTTTTTTTTAAATTTATTAGTCATTTTTATTAGTTTTTTTTATATATAAATTTCTGTTTATGTATTGTATTTCAGCCAGTTGCCAAGGCAAGATATCTAACTTTTATTTAAGTTTAAGTAATAGTTATAATTACTTTATTTTAATTAATGACAATTATTTTAGTGCTTTTATGTTTAGTTAACAATAGCAACACTGGTGTAGCATTTCAAAATTATTGTTTTTAGATTTTATTTTTTAATTTATTTAGACAAAATAGTATAGAGTTTTAAAATCAGCCATTTATTGGTTATGACCACAATAATGATCAAATTATTGGTTTTCCCCCTTAATTAAAAAAAAGTGTGCATCTGTGTGTTTAAAATTACTTTTTCATACATGAAAAAAGAATGAAAAACTAGATTCTATGTTAATAAAGAAAATATTGAGTGAGGCCACCATGCTGCTATGCAGTTCCTAAGATGTTCAAGATGTTTTCTGCATGTTGCTATCCAGTTGCTAGGGTGTTTTGAATGGTTGCTAGGTGGTCAAAGGAGTCAAAAGCTTTACCACATAAGACCTATTTAGAAAAATATGTACTATTACTTTTTTAGCAATCAGACATAGTTTTCTCTTAGTAGATGATAAAACAGCATAGATGTACATAGAAGGAGGGACGCGAGAAATGGGCAACCACTAATAATGTGTGCTAAAAACTACTAAGACCCATAGCAACTGAATGCCAGTATCTTAGCATGATGGCAGTGAGTTTTAAACAGGCGAGCAGAAATCTAGTTATCTGCAAAGGTTGTGTTCACACACTCCAATTCCAACATATGCGGTTCTCCAAACACTCATCATCTCCCTTCCACGAACACACGCACAACTGCTAATTAGCAAGTAGCACCACAGCAGAAACAACCTGGAATAGCTGCTTAAACAGAAGGGAACGAGTGTCTCTTTTTTGCTCTAAAATGAGAAGATGTTAAGAGATGAGGAGGGCAGGAGTTCCAGAAATATTTGATAGTTTTTGTATGCTAGCCATACAGGAGACGCTTTCATTAGCGGAGGTGCTGCTTGCTCGCTGTGACACTATGGCGAAATGAATCACCTCTTGTGTTTGTGTGGGCGTGTGACACACAGGTGCTGACTCCCACAGCGAGCGCAGTTCCGTGAGCCGCCTGCCCCCCTCGGAAAGCCGGGACACCTCACCTGCCCCGTCCACCACGCGGACGCACTCACACGGAGACGGAGATCAACACTGGGACTTTGACCATGTGGAGAGAAGCGACACCTCCAGCGTTTCTTCCTTCGAGGAGCTGGATCTCAACTCAGAGAGGACGGACAGGTGTGACCACACCCCTCCACCAATCACAGGAAGCAGCAAAAACAACCTGCAGGGCCAAGACAGAGAGATGATGGTCGAGGAAGAGTGAGAGAGCGGAATTTTTTAGATGGTTTTAAAGGGATGGTTCACCAAAAAAAAGGAAATTCTGTCATTGTTTTTGTTGTGCAAATAACCGAATAGCTTTTTGCACAATCTTTACATACTCCAAAAAGCACCATAAACGTGGTCCATATGACTTGTTTGCTCTATTCCAATACGTTTTATTTTAGTGTTACTTATGCTATCATAGTATAAATTAATATTTTAAACTAGCTTTTATTTTTATACTTTCAGTGTTCATTTTCATTTTAGTAATTTGATGTGATTTTGTCGGTTCTATTTTTTATTTTTAGTTTTCCATCAGTTTTATTTCAGCTTTATTTCAATTAATGATTTTTAACAGTTTTAGTTAATTATAACAACACTGATTCCAAGTCTTCTGAAGCCATTTGTTACGTTCTACCAAAATCCACAAATGTTCGGTTACTACATACATGACAATAAATGTTGTTTTAGTAAAAGCTATGCAATTTCAGATTTGAATAAATATGAAAAAAAGAAGGATCAGATTTGAGTAAATTATGTTGATTATCAATGTATAACCACTTTATTTTGGTCTGTTTCTCACATAAAACTATGGTGTGGCTTCAAAAGACTTGGAATATAGTGCACATGTCATATGAACAACTTTTGCTGTGATTTTTTTTCCTTTTTATGTCTTGACAACTTTGAACAGTGGTTGAAAATTCCTAATTTTGTCATCTACAAAAAAAAAAAATAATGAGGGTGAAGAAATAATGACAGAATTAAAATTTTGGGTTGAACTACCCCTTTAAGTGTTATGGTGGATTTGTGTGAAAAACATGGTAAAAGAGGTGCTTCTATTGATAAATAAGAATGAAAGTTGTTTAGTCAAGATTGTTTTATATTCCAAAGGGAATCAGCAGGTACAGAATTGTGTCTGTAGACATAAAAAAAAAAAAAAACTGAACCAGGTAACCTGAATTTCTTGAAAGCATCTTCATAATTGTATTTCATGCTCCCTCATTAGCATTTCATTAGTGAAACTGTTATTTGTTTGTTATTGATCGTAAGTTCCTAATGACTGAAGTTAAACTGACATTGATGACATTGAATTTATATAATGTTCAGCTTTCAATTATTTGAGTCTCATTTGTTATTCTCTATCCACACATTGTCTTCATCCTTCAGTAATTGCTCATTTGCGCCCAAAGTAACTCCCAAAACTGGGAGTTATGTGACTTGAATATTCATTCATCAATGTCATATGTTCATAGACAAAAGCAAATCTTTATTTGCGCCAGAAACTGACAAATAGGAGGGAGATGATTGCAGCACATTTCCAGCACGTTTTTATGTGTTTTTACAATTAAAGATGTTTGGACCATATATTTATCTGATCATATTTTATGATATAAATGGTATTGCATATACTTACTGGATTTCCCTCTGATATTACTACTTACACTTGATCAGCGTAGTATATTTTCTTAAATAATACAGTGGTATTTTTATGTGTTGAATGTTGAGGTGTTACTCACTATACTTTTTTACATTTCTATTGAAGAAATACATTACAGAGCCAACTGTGGGCCTCTGGTGATGTCTTGAATGTTTATCCTTGAAAATATTTCCATTTTGATCCAGGTTGTGCAAGTTCACACATATTTCAGGACACACATGATATATTGTTAGTTTAGATCATATTTCATATCAATGTCTGATTTGAATTTTTAGTGATTTGTTCTGCTAGTTGTTGAGCAACTTAATAAAGAGTTTTAACAGAAAGGACTGGTTCTTCTTTCTTCATAAATCTACACCTTTGTTTCTGTAATGATGGCATACTTGCACATACTCCCAGTGCTATTTTAATATTATTTACATACTATTATAGTATTTATTAATATTAATTACCTTAATTATTTTAACTTTATTACTCATTTTTACTTTTTCAGTCGTTTTAATTTTAGTAATTGAATGTGCTTCTCTCATTTTTATTAGTTTTATTTTTTCACTAATTCAATTTAGCTTTATATTTTTTTATTTTGATTTTAGTTCAACCTATTTTTAGTTTAAACTTTTTTTATTAGTTAATATTTATTATATTATAAATTAATAAAAGATTTAATTAGCTTAACCTGTCTTTTTTTGTCTAGAGTTTAAACAACCACCACACATCTAACAGTTTGTTTATTTGTCTCATAGTGACTGACCACTAAAAATCAACCAATTCCGATAAACTTCAAAACTTTGATGTCTAGTTTTTGTAATACCCTCCAGAGTCCAGACAGACACAAACTACTGTAAATCCCTCTCTATATTATGTCTGGTACTACTTTGTTTTCTGTAAAACCAAAACAATTGTCTGATCTCCAAAGAGATGCATTTATGATGTGTCTGCACATTGAACTTTTCAGAGGGTCCATGTACACAGTCGGCTTCAAAGTGTCATTTTAATCCACACTGTTGTAGATACTATAGGCACTAATTGAAAACAATACATCACAACACTGCCTCTTGAGACATCTAAAGAAGTTTCAAAAGCACACAGACACGGTCAAGTGTATCAAATACTCCCTCTTCTTTCACACAGTCTTGTTGATGATAGTGTTTGACTTGCACCATCAAGTCTGGTCCACATTGCAGCTTATGCTGGCCCAGGACCATTAGAAAGGGTGAGACTGTATACTGTACAAAATTATTTTTGTGGTTTTAACAGTAAAAGACTGTAAAAATACTACAGTTAAAACCTGTTAATTGATTGACAGGAAGTTCCATTACTGTATATACAGAGAAAACTGTAATACATCTAATGGGATGCAGTAAAATACTGTTAAATTTACAGTTTTTGGAAGTGAAAAGAATTAGTCATCTTATAATTTACAGCGAAAAAAAAACGTAAATTGACAGTCCAAGAATTTCCTGTGTGACGTTTCACATTTGATGGTTTTTCATTGAAATAACTGTTTCTTCTTCGTTTTTTTTTTTTTTTCAGTTATGTACATTAGGGTTTTGTTACATCTTATGTTGTTAAATTAACGTCACGTGTATCACACTATTTTAGCATTGTGTGTGTTACTATGATGGTGTTTTGTGTTTATTACACGCTTTATATATTAGTATTTTCCTCCTCAGCTTGTGGAAAAGCTACTTGTAATGAGCTTTGATTCATCATCTGGTTTTCTCATTACCACCTGTGTATTTGGTGGCTGTCAGTGTATTATACAGTGGGTATAGAAAAGAATTACCCCCCTTTAAAATAATCATATTGTGCTGAAATGAAGACAGACACAGTTTTCATTTTATTTACATAGTGCAGCTTATAACATTCAAGTGAAAAAACTGTGTCCGTCTTCATTTCCGGCTGCAAAGCAACAAAATGTGATTATTTTAAAGGGCAATATTCACTCGAAAACAAAAAAGTACAAAAATAATTTTACAAAAAATGGAAAATGTACTTGTAATTTTCTGCCAGGACATTCTTAAAGGGGTCATATGATGCGATTTCAAGTTCTCCTTTCTCTTTGGAGTGTTACAAGATGATTGTGCATAGATAAGATCCCTGAAGTTGCAAAGACTAAAGTCTCAAAACCAAAGAGATATTCTTTATCAAAGGCGCTTCTGAATCAGCTACTGTTTTGTTATTAGTTTAAGTATTTGTTCTGTTCAGACTGTTCAAATGCGGAGTTTTGCGCATCGTATGTGCTTTAAATGTTAATAAATGTTATTTAGCATAGAAATAGACAGATTTACATGCTGTTGCATCATACAAACCTCTAAACAATTTTTTCCAGAGGGCTGACCACTGCTTTCAGATTGATCTGAGAATTTTGACAAATTATACTACTGTACTTCCATTTGGGTGGAAAAGTTTGGAGCAATTTCTGATAATCATATCTGCGTGTCCTTGTGCTCCCCAAAACTTCATCCTATTTGTCTCGTTCCTCTGGATCTCTCTGCCATTATGATGTTGAACAGACCTCTTTTTCAAGGCAAAATTGGTCCCTTTGTGTTAGAGGTGGTTATTATATAATCTATTGCAAGTGTTTGCTGCTCTAATCACCACTGTGGTGCATGTGCATTTCTCTCCAAAGTCCTCTGAAAATATCCAAATTACTTGTGTGTTTGGAAGACAAAGCAAGCTTTGTGCTCCCATCGCTGTGTGTCTCTCCATCAGCGGCCAACCCCCTCCTGATTCCCCTTTAATTGGTTGAGAACTGAACTTGGACAGCGCTTGAGGGGTCTTAACACAGTGCTCTGGAACTTAGATCTTAAGCACTGCCTTCTACTGATGCATACTTACAATATGAACTTCTCCCAGAGGCATCAGTACATTAAGTTTCATTCTGTAATTATAGGCCTACCCTCTTTTATGCTGTCTTGCACAGATGAATGGCCTCACCATTTAAAGCCCTTTCATAAGAGTTTGGGTTAGAATCAACCCTGCAAATCAAATCCTGCAAGTGGGCAGCATTTCCTTTGCTTTGGCTTAAATGTAAATGTGTAATTAGGCTTCTGTGTTTGATATTCTGCTGGATTGTAGAGGTTGGTAATACAAGCCTATAATTCTCTGCATCTCATGTTGTTTAAAAAAAAAAAAAAGTTCTGTGGCGGTTCTAGAACACAGTACACAGTACTGTGATATTATTATATTTTGTCCTTTTTCGTGCATGACAGACCACAGAAGACAGAAAATCATTAGCTGACATGACATTAGAGTTTGAAAATAACGAGTGAATTTTAATTTTTGGTCCGCTTATCTCTTTAAATCTACATTCTAGACTAAATTCAGTTAACTGACGAATGCTTTATTAATAATAAAAGATTTTGTCTTTGCAGTCTTTATCTCACTACTAACAAGGCAAGTAATTAATGTAGGCAAAACCGTACTATAAAAATTCTAATATTTAATTTAAATATTTAAATAATTAACGTTGAGATATAAGTTAAATATTATCTTGTTATATGAGCTTGACTAAAATTTATTTCTTTAGGTGTTACATCTGGTCTCTGGTAGCTGCTGACTCTTTGCAAAGTTTGCATAGTCATAATTGCTTCATATGTAGTTTTAAAATCACTATTAAAAACCGTTTATCATAAGCAACAGCGTACATTTGAATAGTGAACATGACTGAAATTAACCAGCTAACTTACCTGTATCTTTTTTTGGGAAGCTCTGATGAATATGTGACTTTCTTTCTCTGAAGCATGTGTGTTCTCGTGTTGCGTTCTTTTTTCTTG